TAAGGATGTTGAAATGAGGTTATCTGGCTAACTGCACAATTAGCCAATAAGGACCATTCTGCAGAGCGTGGCAGGGGTAGCGCCAGGAGCAGAGGCACAAGCCACCCATACTGAGGCTCTGGAATTTAAATTTAGTAAGAGCTGCCAGGCTCTTACTACATTTAAAATACAGAGCCACGGTGTCCCGGAGCAGAACGAGCTGGGACTGCTCGGTCCTGGCTCGCCCTGCCTCCAGCAGCCCCTGTTTGCAGCAGCCAGCTCAGGCTGCCACGAACAGGGGCTGCTTGGTGCGACCCTCACAGACATGGGCTGCTGCCAGAGCAGCCTCTGCCTGCAACAGCCTCCCACCCGCCACTGCCTCTGATAAAGGCAATGGGGGGGCGGGCAGGCAGCACCGGGGAGATGATGCTGAGGGGAAACCAGCTTTTAAGCTCGCTCCCCCAGTACCAGTTCCTGTTCCTTGCTGCCTCTATAGGAGGCAGAAAGGGGGGAGGGTGAATAGTCGATATTCCAGTCAAACGCCCAGTAAGCTTATGCTTATCGGCTAGTCAACTAGTCGCTAACATCCCTAGTGGGGAGGGTTTTGTATTTAAGAGTTTAGCTTTTTCTTTTTTCTTATTGCTTCAGAGTAACGTGAGAGTTGCTCTGAAGCAATAGCAAGTCTCTCTGTATGGAGCTGGAGAGAGACACCCCGACACAGTCAATATTCCCCTTCACCTGGTGTAAAGAAAAAAAACTACGCCGGCCAGATTTTATTCTTTAGAGACCTGACATTAGAAGTGACCTACTGATCTGCCAGAAAAAACTCTCCCAACCGCCACAGCACCACTGCGGCAAGCTCAAGAATGGGAAAGACTTGCACCTGGACAGGAGCCATGTGTGAAATCAGATTCCTGTGTGCATCAGTATACGGCCTTTCACAAGGGCACGGCAGATGCTCCGGGCGTATCTCAAACGTAATGGCAAATTGAGTCCTGAGCCACGCAGCTCCCCTCGGCTCACCAAACAAACTGCCAATTCACGCATCACCAAAACAAGACTGCAATCAGGTGACACTGCATGAGTGCAGGCAGCAGAGTAGGCGAATCTGCATGCCGTGGACAGACTGCAAAAAACAGGCTCCCATAGCAAAAGACAAGACATGTGACCTCTGCAACAATTGTGAGAACTGACTTTCCGAGGCAAAGGCACGAAGCTGTACTCAGCCCGCCGCAGTGCTATGGAGCCAGAAAGAATGCACCAACAACAAAACAGAGTGAAAAGTTAGGTAATTTAGGAAGAAAAACAGCTCAGAAACCACATAGGGGATTTTACAAGACACCAATTACAACAATCTAGGTGGATTTCATCTGATCATTCCATTGGAAAGCCGGCACTCCCCCCTCCCGCTGCCCAAGTGCAAGCTGTATCCCTTTAGAGAGCCCCCTGTCAAGCAAGCCATACAAATCTCCTCGGCAGGGCCAAGCTAGAGTCTTTCAAAAAAAAAAATCCTTCCTGGCTCTTCAAGGAAAACTGTGTCAAATTAGACAACAGGCGGTTTTGAAAAATATTGGGCCCGATCCTCAGCATAGCTTCATTAAAGTAAATAGGGAGAGGATTTTTCCACTCCAGTTTCTTCAGAAGTATCTCATGCCACCTGATGATTGATTTTTGGATTGAAAATAAGTGGCCGTGGGTTCAAGTTCACAACTTTTCAAAAGCATTTCAACTTTTCAGAGAATGAATTTGAGATTAAAGTAACTCAAGACTTTTGTTTTCACAGTGAAATCCACCTGTTGACGACACACATTTCCACCACCACTGACAACTTTGCTTCTAAACCTTTCTGCACACTAGGATATTCCCACACTGGTGTAAACCAGCAAGTAGCAGGAGAGCTGAAAGCCTCCACAGGCACCTGGACAAGGTATGGGAGGGGCTGGCTCTGCACTCCTGAAAGGGGCGGGGCCTCTGGTGGAAGAGGCAGGGCCGGGGAATCCAGCCCTCAGAGACACCTGGAGCTTTCTCCATGGCACTCCAGCGGTGATTTAAAGGGCCCTGGTCTTCAGCCACCGCCACTGCGCCTTTAAATTGCCAGGCCCTGGGGCAATTGTCTCCTTTGCCATCGGCGAGCCTGGCAAGTAGCAATATTACAGTAGAGGTAATTTTTTTCTTGCACAACAACATATACTCAACCGTTAAAAACCAAATTTTGATTATTCTCTTTACACTGATTTCAAAAACGGGGCAAGCCACAATTACAAAATCCTAGAGAAGGAATTCCAGATCTCTTTTTGAATCTTGTTTGCAAACTAAAGTTTCAAACTTTTAAAATCATTATTATTGGTTATAAATACTGCAGTGGTACCCAAAGGCTCCACCCACTGTGCTGTTTGTTCAACATAAGATCAGACATGCTGGGTCTAACCTAAGGTCCATCTCGTCTAAGGTTGTAAGCGACTAATCGAACAGCTGACTGCCCAATAAGCCTAGGTGAGCCACTACTTGACTAGTTGCTTCTCCCTTGCTTGCTGCCTCTATCAGAGGAAGCAAGGAGGGGGAGCAGAAGCCAGCTTAAAAGCTGGCCCCCCCGCCCCAGCACCATCTCCGGACGGGGGCAGGGGAGGCAGAGGTGCAGCAGGGGACTCAGCTATCCTGGCTCACACCCAGAGTCCCCCACTGCGCCTCTGCCTTTTAAATGTAGTAAGAGCTGCTCAGCTCTTACTACATTTAAAAGGCAGAGACATAGCTGTAGCTCTGCAGTTTCTCCCTCTTATCAACTAATCGAGTAGTCAATGGAAATTCCATTAACTACTCAATTAGTTGATTAAATACAATTTAACATCCTTAATCTCGCCCAGTGTCCTGTCCTCCGACAGAGGCCAATGCCAGATGCCCCAGAGGGAATGAATAGAACAAGTAACCAAGTCGTCCATTCCCAGCTTCTCGCAAAACAGCAGTTCATATCTCTCAGGATTAATACATCCCAGCATCCACGCACACACATGAAAAGGGGTTATCTTTGCAATTGTAAGGGCTAGATAACTTTAAGAAATGGAAGCTTATACTCTGCTGAAACTGAATCAGAGGACTGAATAAGTACAGGCAGCGAAACAGGCGTAACATTCCTGGCTTTCATTTTTGTTTTGTGCATTTATCTTACACCAAACACATAAGTCTAGTGGACATTTAATGTGCATGATAGTGCAGTTCTATCAAACCATGCCTTTCTAATACTTCTTCCAGAGACAGTGCTAAATGCTTACACGGGCAAACAGACACCTTGGAAAAAGCAACACATCCAAAGGGTTCACAACGTGAACAAACCTTGAACACTTCCATGGCTAAACAGAGAGAGTCAAGGATTTAGATCGGAGAGATGGATATGTGAAGGCAGGCTCACCGCCCATTTATGTAGCCAATCCTCACAAACAGGGGAGTGACCGGTATGTTTATTATTGGATTACCTGACTGATCAACTAAATATTTGCTAATACAGTAGAACTCAGAAAACTGCGCTGGTAAGCAGGAAGCAAGTGAACTGAAAGTAGAGTCATGGTGCCTTTAAAAACAAAATTTATAAAAAAGGTATAAAGAAGCCGCTGGCCTGACTGGACAATACTGGGCGCAAAATGTCATGCTCACCCAGAGGTTCCCATTTGAAGAAGGGAGGCTGTTTCAATTGGCTACACAGAGCTTTATACCACGCTTCCCCTGGTTGAAAAGGACACCTGACTGTTTTGCTGGGCACCACTTGGGGCATGCACAACGCAAAGGCCTCGCGGAGCCCAGCAGGAGCACCCCCTGCACCCCCATGAGCCGGGCGCTGGCATTTCAGGCCCTGATCTACGGACTCTGCAAGTGGATGCATCAGAAATGCTGACGGGGAGCTCAGCATCCTAAGATCCCACCAGCAAGCTCTCCCCTGCCAGGAGAAAGCTTCAGGCTGCTCCTTGCCTCCAAATTCCGCTCTCCATCACCTCCCTGGTCCTCCGCCTCACCTGGCCTCTCCTCTCCACCTCTCCTGTGGCCTGCCCCTTCCCTGCCACCCCCCCTCTCCCCCTTTTGGCCCCTGCCAGGGATGCCCTCCAGCCTGCCCCACTCTCCTCTGGTTGGAAATGCCCCCTCGAGAAGAGACCGCTGCCCCCCCCCTTGTGTACAGGGGCGCAGCAGCAGGAC